TGGGCCCGGCTTGGCGGTGGCGGCGCCTTTCCGGGCGTGAGGCGCTGCGCCCAGGCCTCCCTCCCGCCTGGGCTCGATACTCCCCTGGTCTGGCCCAGCCAGACCTTTATTTTTCCGTTGGTTACGCTCCCTCCGTGACAAGGGAGTTCCCGAGCCCCGCTTCGGGCGTGCTGGTGTCTGACATCCCCGCACCGACCGGGTTCGGCCGGGGCAGGCCCGGGTGGGGAGGGGGTTGTGAATATTTCACCTTTACGACCAGGACAGGCCTGCGGCCGTCGAGAGGTTGGGGAGAGGGAGAGGGAGAAGGAGGAGGAGAACCCGCTCTGCTGGTTATTTTACCACTTCGTGTCGGGTGAGGGGTGAAAATGGAGGCATTGTGATAAAACCGGGAACAACAGCGGTGGCCGGCAGCACAACGACGGCTACCGCAGAACAGAGTGTCTGTAGGAATTAAGACCTCTTTTTTCCACAGGCATTAATAAATAACAATCCTTTTTTGTGCTGCTGTCGCATCTTTTATATCAAAAGAATTTTACGAGCATTAATTACATTTCATAACATTCTTTGTGCACAGTAAATATTACTATGCTCATTTTACTCCTGGGAAATGGGGAGATTGTCACATGTCTGGGATCTTGGAGGAGACGACTTGTTAAAGCTGGAAGGGTTCAGAATATAGGAGCCTAGTTTTTCTGGTCAGCCACTTAAACCAAATTTTTACTGTGTATCAAATTGTATTGCTAGCATTTTTAGTTGTTCATGCTTTCAAGGTTTATTCCTAACAAAGTCCCAGCCTTTCTGACACCGTCAGAATGAGCACATCGCTGCAAGGCTAAACATCATTCTAGAGTCGCACACAGAGCACTGCTAAATCTTACAAGTCTTAACAGCTCCTTGTAATCAGCTTGGGAATTTAAATCCCCACTAAATACATATTATCTGATGTTATTCCATTACAAAGGGCATAGTAATAATACACTGACCAAAGTTTATCTTCCAACCAGCTCAAAGGACAGGAGGGACAATCCGCAATGTAGGGTGGCAAGCTGGGAAGCGTTCACTGTAGCCATCTAGATGTTAATCTGTTCACATGCCAACTTCCACCAAGCTGCAAGCCATCGAAGTACACCAAGGGGCTACCGAAATAACCGCCATGTAAGGGAGTCGTTCCATTGAACAGCAACAGAACTGAGGTGAATCCCCTAGAGGAACTGAAATTGCAGTCTTGTCCTTTTTCCCCCCACAATAAGACCATGAACAGTCACTCACACTCCACACATCTTCATGGTTTTGATACAGTTATGTTCAATCCCTTAAAAAAAGTCCATAAACTGTGCCAACTATAATTGAAAATACCTAGCATCGGTTATAAAAGGGTTTGGGTTTCCTCTGCTTTCTTGCATTGCTTGTTAGGTAACATAATCTGCAGATGAATCTACCACATAAATTAGTGTACGTACTGCTTCTGTGGTGGCCATTACTGAAGATTCTACTTCCCGTTCCCTATTGCTTCATGTATTTGTGAAACAATGCCCATTTTGTTTGATGTTTGCCATCAGAAGTCCAGCGAATCCTCTGAAACTCTCTCTCATACAGCTGCAACTCTTGAGACACGCTGTGGAAGGTGACCAGATGTGCAGGAATATCCCAGATAACAAACTTTGTTTTGCAGACAGCACATCATTTTCTGCTGAATACAACAATTGTTTTTGCAGGGACATTTTTAACATTTGTGCTTTTACTTTTCCCTTCCCTAGTGAAACAAAAAACTCCAACCACCCCAATTCCTTATTCTGTTGTGAGGGGTGATGCTTACGGGCCACAGTAAACAGGGCTCTGCCACATATGGCACTGCATAAACGTATGCAGCAAAGTCAGAGCAGACAGAGGGACAAACCCACACCAGCACTAGCTACCTATGAAAGCCACAAATTAGATTTACTTCTGAAGTAGGGCACAGGTTAATAAGAGTGTGGGATGCTGTTTCATCTCAGAAATAATAGCTTCTGTGTCTGAGAAAAGCATATTTCATCTGTATGACTGAACCAGCAGCGTGGCAGGTGTAGCAACCCATGGCTGCAGGCTGGATATAAGGGCAGCATGAAAAGTGGGTCTACTGCAGCTCTGCAGGGAGGTGCAGAGAAGGCTTCCAGCTGTTCATGTTGCTGGCTGAGGTCATCTGCTGCTCTGCTGTCATCTGCAGCTGGGTGTCTGCACGTGTACCCATTTAACTGGCTGAACGGGCATAGGACCCTTGCCTGGTTTCTAGCTGGGATCAGGGTGACGATTTATAACCCATGTATCCCATTCTATCCTGTTCCTCCTCCGTCCTTCAGTGGGTATTCATAGTTTGTCTTGAACACCATGAACCACTGGATGGTCAGAGAGGCCTCGCTTGTCTCCCGCTAATCAGAGCGTAATGCAAGGAGCAATGTCAGATGCCAGTTAGGGAAACATTATTCATACACCTTCAGGGCTGAATTCAGTGCCAACAGAGGCTGATTGTATCCTGTTAGTGAAATCAGCTGCAGAATTTCCTTTGGCCTGGGCTATAACACTCTACCAGAGCAGCCTAGGAAAAGCCATGAACAGAGATTACCATGAGCTGTAATCACCTTCCCCAGTCCTGTCCACCCCGGGGCAGTATCCTGACCACTAACTCATGTTTTTGAGGTTGAAAGTCTGCTAGTTGCTGGTTCCTGGTTCTGCTCAGGTGACCTGCTATCCCCTGCTCCCAGCTTTCTCCTCCTTAAGCCACAAAAGGAGCCAGCGGAGGCTCTAGGAAATGAGGGGACAGGAGGACAGGGGATGGGAGGGAGAGGCAAAGCAAGCTGGAGTGGCTGCAGGCAGATGCAAGAGGGGAGAGGAAGGAGGAAAAACAGCACAAATGATGGAGTCAGGATGTTGCAGCTGCATGAGCTCAGGTTTGTTTTTTGGTTTTGCATTGCAGTATGGAGCCCACATGCCTGCTCTGCCATGGGGCTGTTGGTGGGACTGAGGGTATCTCCTGTGTGGACTGCAGCCTGCAAAAAGCAGCGAGCTGTGTAAGATTCATTCTACCTTCCTCTTCTGCCCTTATTTCATATGAAATGGTCAATATTTATTAGCTATATAACCACATCACACAGTGATAGTGCAAAGGAAGGTTTCAGGTCTGCTCTTTACCACTCTACCACAGCTTTTACCTGAGAATGTCTTATTTCCCCTGTGTAACAGTTCTTGATCCAAAGGTAGGGGGAACTGGGCTTCTGACCCAGTATTGCCTCTCCATAAAGCTGTCATGTTAGCACAGCAGAGTTCAGATATCATTCAGCTCCTACCAGTGTCTTTTTCCCTAGATGATGTATAAAATAAATAAAAAAAATATTTAGGTATTTATCTCCTCTCCTGCCTTCCTCTGCTCTTCCTTTCCCCTCCCCCTTCTCAGTGTCTGATCCATGCAGTGGGAAGCTCACGGGCTAACAGATGCACAACAGCCACGCGGAGAAGGTCAGGTGCCAGAAATGCACAACAGTGAGCTGAGACCTTGCAAATGACTCTTTTGATACCAGGAGTGCTGGGGAATAAACACTGATTTTAGCTTATCAGTAGCAGTGTTTCTCTCAGGTATTGCTCACAGTCCTCCCATATCTTTAATCTCTCTGCAGTACTTGTCAGCTACCAGTGTTTTTCTGAAAACGTAAGTCCATGTCTGTTATGCTGGCAGCACACCTAAAACCAAGTTAGCAAATTGTTCTCCTTATTAATTCTTGATTTAGGAAGTAAAGGGCAAAGGAGAAGTAAGTTGCTGACAGACCTGTGGTACCACTGGGAGCGACAGAACAAATGAACCCATACTCAGGTGTAGTCTGATGTCAGAAAAACAGAAGTGGAGGTATTTTGGAACCATTTCCCTACAAGACGGAGGTAACCTGATGGTGTAGCAGATCTTACTGGTCTGTAAATCACCAGGAGACAACTGGTTTCTGCTAGAGAGCTCTACCTCTCGTTTTTGCCTCATATGGCCTGTGCTGTCGCATCCTGCAGTGAGGGGAATGCAGCCAGAGACTTCACGTTGGTTCCAATCACTGGCAGAAGGCAAGCAGGGTGAAGTGTCAAGAGCACTTGGTGGATGTGAAGGGATAGCAGGATGCTCAGAGAGCTGATGTCCAACTCTGATGGGCTAAATCTCTTTTGGGAAAGTCCTAGAAGGAGATCTAGCACCTTGTTCTGGCTTCTTTCTTCAGAATCCAGGCCCAGCTTACTTCAGTACTGTTGTGAACACATGGGAGTTTTGGTGGCAACTGTCACCCAAATTTGAAGTAGAAAATTATTCTGAGCAGGAAATGAAACACTGTTCTAAGCTGGCTACATGTGAACTTTGATATCTTTCTTTACTTTTTATTTTACACTGTCTCCATGGTTCAGATCTTGATTTCCCAACCTTCTGCAAAACTGACAATCCCACATTTTGTATTGCATGAGTAGCCATGGAGGAAGCAAAGGGGTTTGGCAGTTGGGGCTTCTGTTACACAAATCTCACGGAAGCAGGGTAACACTGCAAGCTTAGGACAGTAATTGAATGCATTCGCTAAAATCATAGAAAAAATAGGTTGGAAGAGACACCAAGAGATGATCTAGTCTGTTTCTCTGCTTCAGCTGCATCTATTTCAGTCCCAATAGTGATATTCTTGAAAACATCCAGAAATGACAATTCTATTGTTCCCACAGGCCATCTATGACAGCACCCACAAGAAAGGTAAAAAAATCACAGTGGTAAAAATGTTTCCAAGGATAAATTAAGCAGCTCAGGCTTTTACTTAAGGTTTCTAGTGAATTCAGTACTCTTTACTTCATCTGTTATATCCTGGGCATCCTTTTAATCATAATCTTCAATGCTACAAGAGATAGACAGATCTTGACCTTCTACGGCTCTGTGCCAGCTGAGGATCTAGCCTGTTTGTTGTTTTTATGACGGCAGCTCAGACTCTGGACCACAACTGTGTTGCAAGAGGTTGGACTCTGAGGTTGCTATGTCCTGAGCACCTGATGTCCTGCTTGCAGCACCCGTTTCCTTCTAGTAAATGAACCCTTTCTCACTGATGCAGACCTTGGTTGACTGCCACATAGACATTGGGGCAGAGTACTGCTAGAAAGCACACTTGAAAAGGGCCCAGAAACATCAGGAAGTAAGAACGCACGGGTTTGCTGATGTGGGGATCATAGTACTCTCCACAGATACTGCCAAGAGCTATCTTCTGACTCATACATTTTGCAACCCAGTGGAGATAGCAGGGTAGTGCACCATGGAATTTGGTCGCTCTGCTCCCTGCCTAGGTATCTATTTGCTTAAGAATTTGATTCATCATACCAGTTATCATCTAAACGCTCTGGCATGTATTCATCCAGCTGGGCTGGCATCTCCCTGCTTGGCACAGGATGTTATTTAACACTGACATCGATTTAATACGGTAGGTTGTTTTATTGGATTTTGCAGGTGGTTTTGATGCCAGGGTTCTGGAAGGGAGTTTCACCCCATTAAGCTGAAAACTTTCTATTTTCTTTTATATCTGTATGGCATCCAGAAGTGGCAAAAGGATACATTTCTAATGGAAAATGGCAAATCAAATCAGTGGCTGTACTTTTTTTCATCTTTCTTCCTACTTTCTCACCCCTTTTCTTCAATACCAGCTTCTGTGCCATTATTCTCTCTTCTGACCTCTTCCTTTTTCAAAAATTTTCTTCTCAATTTTTCTTTGTTCACGATCCTCCTCTGTTACACTTTCCATGATCTACACTTTGAATTTCTTTCTCATTGTTCTTAGTGCTTTTTCGTCTTTCTCACCCCTTGGTGTTTGTTCTCTCCCTGCTCATTCCTCGTAAGCTCCATTTAACCTGGTTTGGGGCATTCACTATCAGGCTTGTGAAAACACTTGCCAGTTTAGCTGTGTGTTAGGAGAGAGAGTCTCAGACCTCCACAATGACATTTGGGTCTGCTATTGCATATTAGACTGTTTTCTGGAATTACCTGTTTTTATGGTGGCTAAACGCAGAGAGAAAGGAGAAGCCACCTCCCACACCACTCAGGAACAAATGCCTGTCTTCATGAGAAAAGGATAAGCAAATTTTGCCAAGTCCTACAGGCACTTTCCTCTCCCCACACAGGATTAATATGAAGTCCTGCCAAGGCAATGGTTGGGCACACAGTTTGAGAAATACTGTTACAGCTCAAAGATGCAGCATTAACTAGATCCCAAAACACACCACATACTGATCTTTTCAGTGCTGGGGCCCCCACAGCCTTCTTAGCACAAAAGCCCTTCCTGCAATTCTCAGCAGTCTTTCTTACAACTCAATGTTGTTCTTGTCCATACTTTCTTTTCAGTTTCCTGCTATATTTCATGCCTAAAATGGCAACAGGCAAAGAGTCGGCCAACAGGGCCATGTAGTCTACCCGAAGCTCTAAATGAAACCCCTCTTTGATGCTGTGGTTTCTGTAAACAGGTGCATTTCAACTCAAGAGTTTTACTTTGTTAAGTATTATGGGATTTGGAGAGATTTGAAAGTAAGCTTACATAATTGGTTTATCCTATCATTAACGTTGATAACTACATACTTTCCTTGGCTGGCAGACTAAACTTTCCACAGTCATACACTAAATGAAACTAACATCAACAGAAAACCCGATGGGATTCATCTTTTATTATTGTTAATCAGCATGAACCCTTAAATATAACAAAAGCTCAAGGAGAAAAGCTAAGGCTCTGCATATGTTAAAAGAGTCAAATGCCTTCATCTTCCTTCTAACTCAGGACAGACCAGAACTAACTGAGGCTAGCTTACAGACCTGTCATTGATAACCTATATTTAAAATCCTTCAGATGTCAGTGCACAATTAGCCATCACCCCTATTATTTCAGCTCATCATTTGTATCATATGAGGGTTTACCACTACAGTCCTGTGAAGAGGATGCTACAGATCAGTTTAATAAAGTCTTTGAAGAAGTAAGGAACTGTCTGTGATTTTTGGAAGCTGATTTTGAAAAAAGAAAGTTAATAAAGGCTTCATTTTGCTTGAAACATTAATCAGTGAATTCAAGTTGTAAAGCTCTGCACAGTAGTAAAGCCAATATGAGAAGCAAGCATTCAATGGGTTCTTTAGTCCACAAATAGTAAGGAACATAGCTTTTACTTTATTGAAATAGGTATACCTATAGGCTTCAACAAATAGGCAATACATACTATTTTACATGACTTATCACATGAAATTTTGAAGACCCAGCTGTGAATGAAAATCGGTACAGGCATGAACCCTTGCCTGGACTATACAACAGCAAAATTAGGAAATTACACTCAGGATTCAGCTAAGTGTGGAAAATTTTCCATGCAGTTTGAAGTTTTAATGATTGGGTGAATTTGTTTTCCTTCTCTCACTTTTTTACTCTCCTCTTCCTCCCTCTCTCTTTTTGCTTTTTTAATTTTTCTTTTTTTTAAAGATTACACTGTGTCTGCACTGATCTGGTACACCTATCCATACTATTTAGACACACAACCTAAATAAAGCAAGAAACTTAGATTCCATAGAGGTGTTTCATTTTTAAGCTAAGAGGCAGCAACATTTAATTACTAGCAGGCTGCAATCATTATTCACTGGACCCACTCAACACAACAGAAGGGTGCTAAGTTGATTCTAAATAACATTGTGTTATAACTAACAAACTTAAAAACCAAACAAACAGGAAAGCAAAAGTATTAAGATCCAGGACACATTGCTGAAATGTGGTAGAAAAGCATGATTCAAGACTAAAATATCCACACTAGAAATTCCTTTTTCTGTTTTGTTTTCATCCATAAGGCACACCATGTTAAATTCCAAATTCTGTATTTAGATATTCAATTTAATTTAGATCTAGACTGATTTTCAGGTATAACAGAATGTTTCTCCCAGATCTCAAAAGACTGCTTACCACTGTGGGTGAGGGATGACCAGTCTGGCCTATTAGTCACCTATGGATCTTCTTGTAAGATGTATTCTTCTATGGCTGGGAGGGTTGTTGTACCAACTCATCAATGCAGTCCTTTTCCTGAGAGCAACCGTAGTATGGAAATGGTACTGATGAATCAGCTCTGGTCTGTCCCTAAAAGCAAACAAAAGGAGAGAGAACAGATACATCATTTCAGGAGCTATAAATTTGCCACCAAGAAAAAAACTATTTACGTTCCACTGGCTGTTGTGGTGAAAAATAATTACAAAGAATGTTATTTAAGATAGGGTACTGAAATTACTTACTCCTTTTACCTTAAGAAAAAAAAGCTATTTAAAGATCAAGTATTTTATAGTTAAACACAATCACTCCCTACATACTGCATGCACTGCCTGTGTTCATTAACTAATGAGATTCTTTTTGTACCATGCAAAAAAAGGTCACCGTTTGAATACATGGTATTAACTATTCAAATTAGGCTGTTATCTAACACAATATTGCCCCATGTAATATTCATCCCATAGCTGGGGTTTTACATCCAAATATAAAATCTGTGAAAATGCATGGTTCAAAAGACATAGTAATACCTATATCTAAATCAAGAGCATCAAAAAGTGGGGTGGGGCAAAAAGCCACAGAGGCTTATTATGTGAGATGGTACTTGAGGAAGAAGAATAATCAGGACTACTTCATTTGCTTTCCTATTTGGTATCGAGATCCCCATGGAAGAGATACAGCACACATGAGAACAAGGGTGACAGCTTCCGCTGTGATGATTTTTCGTTGCTTTTTGGATCTAATACTACAGGTCAGAAAGAGCAATGGATTACTGTGCTTTCCAGCAACAGATAATTAACAGTATCAGAGACCTCAGCCTCCCTCATTAATTCAAAACAGTTCATCTGATCTTTTCTAGAGTATGCCCATGTACTAATTTAACACTTGGCAAAATGGATGACCACTCCACTCAGAGCAGCTATTTTGGGAGGCATCTAGTTCTAGAAAACTATGAGGCTATACTGTCCCCCAGGTCCTACTTTGAGTAGTCATTCAAAATGGTGCACAATAATCATCCAGCCTATTTTAAGGGTTACATTTCATGCTCCATGTTATAAACCTGAAAGATATTACTGAGGAGGATGCAACCTAAGAGGACAAGGGGAAACTGTGCAGTGGCAATGTCTAATGTTGGGATGTACATTGCAGTCATGGGAGCAAAGAAAGCTAACGACCTCTGTAATGACTTTCTAGTCATGGATACAACAAAACCTGTTACAGATTTTTTTTTATAAAACCTGAAGCGATGCATCTTCATTTTCTTCTGGTGGGCAGTCACTGTACATGATAAAAAGAGCTACAGAAAATGAACTGTGATACGGCATTTAGTCCAGCTATAGCTTTTTCAGTCCTGATAAACCCATTAAACTGAGCCAGAAATGACTCATTCTTTGCAATAACACTGCTCCAAAGCAATTGACTGCAGAGAACCAAGATACTGGCCTACTATGGCAAGATAGAAGGAAGTGTTCTAAGAAAGTTCCAACTATACCTTTATGTACATTTCAATTATGCCAAGTTCAAACACATTTCTTCTCCTACTCGCTGGGCTATATCCTGAAGGACAGTCTGGCATGTATCCAATGAGAAACAGGCCCTGAAGTAAATATAATGGGACACATGTACTTTGTCTAATAAGAAATGTCTATCAAATGTTTAAGGCAAGGTTGATCTTAATATCCATCACTTGTTTAATAACTGAGATTGATAAAAGGGAATGACAGGATAAAAAAGCTGCACTTTGCCCTTCATTGTATCTAGACATGCATGAAAGTCACTCAGTACTTTAGACTTCTTCCCACAGTCGAGCTGAAAGCTGAGTGTTCAAGGCAGAGCTGAACTCTAGGGAATGATCTGCCGTTTTTATAACAAGATTCCTGTTGGCCTTTCTATCCATTATAGTTAAGCACCACACATACACAGCCCATTTGGCAACAGTGTTCTTAACAATCCATTTACATTTTTAATTAGTTTATTGTAAAGTTTAATTATTGTAGTTAACTTTTTTTTTTTTTAATAAAGCTATTGATATAAAAATGGAGACTGAACCAATATCACAACCAGTAAGTTTCATGTTCATAGAAGGAGTAATAATGGCTGACGCAATCTGCCTGTGCCTACCAACATAATCACAACCAGCTTAGATAAAGACATTCCCTTTCATTATAGTGGCCCTTGTATGGACACTGTAATGCTTACAGAAATGTTAGTTTAGCAACAATTTGCTATCTAAAGCAAGAAAAAGTTGTATATAAAAACTAGGAAATACAATGCCTTGGTTTCACTTTTGTTTTCATAGTTACAACACTACAACTGCGAAGCTGAAATCTGTAAATGCTCTATCTTGCTTCTGTATGGAAGTCTCTGTAGACAAGCTTGCAAAATAGGTCTCCCAGGAATATATTCTGATTAAGAAGAGAAGAAAAATTATATATAGATGGGCTATTCCTTTAACCAGATCAGCACAAATGTGCCACCTGAGAGAAATCTACTAATTTTAACCAGCAATTTAAATAGCAGAGATTTTAAAAGTGTGGCTGTTCAACTCCAAAAAAAAAATATCTTTACATCACATAATAGGAAGGGTGACCAAACAAAAAGAAGACATTTGAAGTTGGACTTCTGAACATCTGGAAATGAGATGTATGAAGAGGAGTAAAGACAGTTAGAGAACCTCCAAATTTTGTAAGGTGTTCAGGATCTTTTGGGGGACTGCAGTCGGCTTCCCTGGTAAGCTAAATCTTGAAAAAAGTCGGTCAGAAAGGTCCATGTTCCTTCCACAGGCTAGAAAAGCAGAGAGTGAGTTTTACACTTTTCAAAAAGTATTGAAGCAATTGCTTTACTGTGTGCAGAAAGTGACTTAGAGTTTCCTGGTGGGCTGCAATCACGCATCACCCCTCCAAAACTACAGAAGGAGATCACTGAATAAATCTTAACTTGTCTAGTTCAAGTTTGAGATAAATGTCCTTCTGCATGTAAAAAGCCACTCCTGTATCAATCTATATCAACAACTGGGGGATAAAGGAGGGAAAAAGGGAACTTTCAGTGGTTTGGTTTGATCTAAGGTATGTAAAAAAAACCCCTTTGTTTTCTGAAGAATGCTGTTCTCCAGCAAAGATAGCAATGGATTGTAAATTACTGATGTAAAGAGAAGATTTTTATATATATTTTACTGAAAATTTATACTGCATGCATGAAATAATAAAAAAATGCACCCTTTTACTGATTTTTATACAGAATATTAGCATATTCTGGCAGAACAAAGTACATCAGCTGAGAAACTATCTCACAGTGTGTGATGTCTAGTTATCTCTGCCAATATTAGCTTTATGGACCAAGTAATAATATTATGTTAATAACTGCTGGTTGCTATTTGTGTACCAGACTGTTCCAATACCATGGTGATGAGCACGCTGTTGGTGTCTGGAACAGATGGACAGAACACAAGAGATACTTGCCTTGATTTTAAGACAAATAGGATTACCTGTTTCATTAATAACGCTACATGAAAGCAGAGACAAAACCACATGGTTCTATCTCCATCTCCAGTAACTGACAGAAAGGAAAAGGCAGTGCACATTTATAAAGACACACATTGGACGCAGCAAACAATTTACCCTAACTTTCAGGGAGAGCAAATCTTTGAATCACTTGTGAAGCCAATGCAGCTGCTTTATGCTGTTAAAAGTGGAAACAAAATTCACCACCTTGATGTTAGCAACATAGCTCCTTTGCAGTTCTCTGCAAAGGTGATACCTGAGGCTGGAGATGAGGCAATTGCCTGTGTCTTGCCCAACACCACTGATTCCCTACCTGCTGATTTAAACATCCCTTACAAAGAAGAAATTGCAACAGCTTTCCATCACTTCTGGAGAAGAGAACTGAAAGAACAGCAAACACCACTTCACCTCATCTTTTTGATATGACAAAGGAATAGGGAGAAAAGTACACTTCAATTCCACTACGTTGTTTCTTAAGTCCTACCACCAGACAGACACTTTATTCTGCACTCTCCTACTCTTTCACAGAAATGAGGAAGAAAGACCAAGAGACAAAAGAAGAGGGAAATATTTTCACTGTAGGTTGTGCAGTTTCATTTAGAATTAAGTCAGTGATACTGGGAAGAAATGATCTTGGGGCAGTCTCATGCACAATATAAGATATGATGCCGTACACTATTGACAAACTGTTTCTGAGTGACTGAAAAAGCAGTTATGTGGGGAAAAGAGTTCTGACACAGAGCACTGGGACCATAACAATAACAACTCCTTTCCTATCTCAGTGAAAAGCTGAAAGAGGAAACTGGAATCTACTGTTTTCCTATAAGAGCTGCCAATTTCCCACTGGTCCCAGAAGCCAGTCATGTTTGGAAAGGAAATGTCCTATCTCTGCATGGCAAAGCTAGCAGGGGCAGATGGCATGTGAACAACTTCCCCAACCACTGATCTGCCAAGGTCACAAAACAGAAAGTACAAATGGTTTTAAGGACAATCATTCAGTTCCTGCCAGGTCACCCAGGGATTCTGAAAGCACTTTATTCAATTTGGCATCCAAAAAGGTTTGAAATAAGGCCACCAATGTAGGTGAGGTGTCAGATCACTGCAGTGATATATTCCACTCTCCCAACACACATGAACAAAATTCTCTAAATTACATATGTCAACATCAGCATACATTGAAGCACCACGATCATTCAAAAGAACACTGTGGCAATGCCTTGTCTTTAAACTTAATCACCTGTAAATGCAGCCAGAAATTTTGTTCAAAACTGTCTGCTTCTCCTGCAGCACTGTCTGGCCTTTGGAAAACTTCACAATGTCAGACTGTAGCAGAGCTGTGTGAAAGAAGCTGCTGAGCACTGCTGCCAAGGATACAACAGTGAGCAGGGACTGTCTACTGTGTGGCCATGTAAAGCCTGTCTCAGGATGAAAGGAGCAACAATCATGCAAAGTGCTGTAAGTCTCAGGAAGTGAGATTTAGCAAGCAGCCTCTACTCAATGTGTCAAGCAAGGTCAGTGTTGGGGAGGGCTGTTAACCATGGTGCATTGGCAGTAAGCAGCAAATCCTCAGAACTAAAATGAGAAAACTTTTTGCCATGCTTTTGCCTTCTATTCCCTTTTTACTGGCAAATTACACCCATCTGTATCTGTCCAAGGAATCATGTCATACTGCTACAAACACAGAGATTTTGGTAGGTCCCCATTCACCTCTGAAATACACAGCTTGAGAAAATAACAGGAAATAGCAGAGCAAAGATGGTTTCCAAGAACCACAGAGACAAATCAGCACTTTGTTCTTTATGGGTAAATTAAAAAATCTTCTCTGCTGCTCTATGGAGCAGGATGAAATATAGCAGAATGACTTAGATTTCTGCAGAACTTTGCATTTGCAAATACTGACTGCATTTTCATTTGTTTCCAGTAACAGGAACAAGTTGGATAAGCTAGTTAATTTGAAAGCGAAGCAATGACAGCTGCAGATACAAGACAGCATCCCTTCTTCCTTCTGGGGGATGAGTATGGATATCAAAGACAGGGTACGAATCATTTTCTGAATTGCCTGTTAACCTTTATTGAGTATTGACCATTTGCTGAGGGAAGCTGCATGGAATTTAGGGTGTGATTCATTTTACTTTATCAATTACTTCTGAGCTCTCTTCAATAAGAAAAGCAAAGACGTCTACAATACCATTGTGGGATTCCATCTTTATTGTCTCAATAATTCAGTCTATTCATTTTCACTGGGAAAAAAACAGACTTTCCATACTTCGGCACTAGATTTTTAGCCTGGGTTCTAGAAGTTACAGTACCTGCTTTTTGTTCACTTTAATACCCCCATATCTAGCAAAGGTACTGCTAAATAACTACCACAAATTGGTCTGGAATGATGAGGTCATATTTCAGGGCATGAGACCAGAGAGCAAAAATCCCCTTCCTGCAAGGCTTTGCCAGCCTCAAGGAGAAAAAAAAAAACAATAGGGAGGAGGAAAGGAAATTAAATGAAAGACTGTCCTGTTCTTGACCTGTAGTTTCAGATTTTCTTAGATATTTGCCAATGAAATCAGTGAAATATTCTTGAGGAACAGGTAATTTTTATGCTGACAGTATTCAAAATACTACCCAAGGAACACTGAAAATGCTACTGAGATGTGGTGACTTACACTGAGCATAGTAAGAGGAAGACTGTGGCTGCTAAGGGTATGGCCTGTGCTCTTGGGCACCAGGGTCACACTCTACATAGTCTTTATGGTTAAATCTTCTTTTCCATGATATAGACACTTCCAATACATAGCATCAAAGGACTATTCAGGCTAGAGTAAACATGTAGCAATACTTCTCACAAGTACTCTCCTAGTCACCAGCTTCCATAACCATTTGCCCCTTCTGCAGCCATGAACACATACCCATGTCTGCTGACAGGGTCACAGAAAAAGACCTCTTCCTTTCACAGAATCAGGAGAACCATTTTGTTTGCCTACTGTGCAAAGAGCACCCCAAACTAATCATTTAGATTCCCATAGTACATAAAGTGTTGATATAAACAGAACACAGACACTTAACCTTCATAATACCTAAAGGAGTCCTTAAATTGGAAGAC